CAGAAGCAAGTAGCCAGTGGTAGCCGTTCCTTTCGACATAATAACTTAGATGGACAGTGACTAGTCAGCTAAAACTTAAGTCACCAATTTGGTGAATTTGTGTGATACTGACAGGTATAGTACCCCCATCTAATTGATGATACGTTAAGCTTGAGGGTGAAGTTAGGCGAGAGTTAAAAGGAAAATGGTGGATCCACCTCCGGGTGTACTGACGGTCGAGCGTTTGAGATATACTTGCATAGAACGGAAAATGGGAGCGAATAGATAAGGAACAATGGTTGTATCCTTGATAAAGACTGTGAAGCTGCGCTATTTAGCAGATAGTACTATGGTCGGCCAAAAATGTTATGTAATAAGTTGGGTCAGAAGTTCAGACAGCACATTAGGAAGGCGCGTAGCACTGTGCAAAAATAGCTGATCTGCGTCGCTTAGGTCTTTTTGCAAAAAAAAACACTTTGAAACCACGCTTTCACTGAGAAAAGATGAACATTTCGAACCTGTGATTCCCTCAGGTACCACGTCTGACAACAAGCTGACTGTAAGCAGACGAAGGTAGCGAAGTCGAATTTTGCTATTAGGTGAAAACATTTTCTCTTGTAAGGAACACTTCTCCTGAAACAGGGCTGATTGCTTGGTACCTGTGTTTGTCACTGCAGTAGAGTCCTAAAGCGATTGCCGATGGCTCTCTCTCACTTTATTAGGAACTATCGCAAGAAAATGCCAACACCGAATGGAAGCATGTGGAGATACATGGAATCCTGCAGAGTGTACTCGGGCTGCGTGACTCTCGCTCACTGCCTAAGCTGAAATCGTTTGAAGATATCTCAAGCCTCACCTACTGTAATCCATTTACACAACGAATGTGGGGATATGGAATACATTGCGAGGTAACAAATTGCTCGACACGGTTGATATTAACTTATTGCTAGTACCATTACCACTTTTCAAGGCCGAACTACTGAATGCGGGTTGCAGGATCGTTAACAATAACTAACCCTAGTCGTACGGTAACCATTCTGAAACTGCTTGGTCTCGTGGGACTTCACCAGCCCGTCGTGCTGCTCTCGATCCCTTCGGGATACAGGCTTATGAAGAGGCAACGCGTCTGTGGATTCGTTCACAGAGGAAAGCAAGATCATTGGATTCATGTGTGAATGATTAGTATCATCGCATGTCCCAACATCGCCTACGTGTTGACCGGAAACCGTTGAAGATCTGGGGTTAGGTGCATTCTAGCCGTCGTAACTTCCTTTTACGGCTAATACAGATCTCATATTGTAGAATAACTAGACTGCACACCGTCTCTGATCTGTCTTATCATCATTTTATAAGTGATTTAGCGATTGCAATCACGTTACAGCATTTTTACTAGATATATGGACGGACGTCTAGTGCTTTGCGTTGACATTATTTTTTATCATATCCGTTAATAAAGATAGAGTAAGTGCAACCGAGCATTTTCTTGTACTTTAGGAAACATACAACATTTTGCTACTTTCGGAAATAATAACCAAGTGCAAAATAGCAGCAAACCTTTTCAAGCGGATTAGTTGCTGTGAATTAGATACACTAAATTTCGTCGGAATACTTGACATGATATTTCATGATACTAAAGTACAAACTTATGGCTGTGCGGTTGGTGAAATTATCGGTTATGTAGCCTTCGAAAACAATCTCTGCATCATTTTTTGATATAACTCTAAAAACGTTAAACAACTTCAGCAAATAAGCCTTAGTGTTACTTAAGAAAGGTTTTCCAGAATACATTATTTGCCATTAGGTGGACAGTTTTTAAAATGATACGCGGATACCATTGTGAATCATGTCCAATTCCTGTCCTACGCTTAGCTTTGATTTTGCCGCTTTGACAAAATAACGCTATGACTGGTGACAGGGAACAGGGGACATTAATTTCGACCCGCATTTATCAGCCTGCAAAAACCGCCAAGAAATCAATCGGTGATCCCTGGGATGTGGACAGTCCAAACACATTAGACTGTCTGGAAAATGCCTGGTGTACTTGTCAAATTGCGCACTGGTCGTCTTAAATCCAGACCACAAATGTCCTTTAAATATTTGGTTATTGTTTACTTCAGACCAAAGATTGATATAAACAACTGTTCCTTACCGTAAGAATGAAGCGATCTACACTTGAATCTGCGATCCTTTTCCCTAATTTAATTATCAACTCAGAGTGCATGCAGGGTAGGCCTTATCCCCTATAATACCTTTAACGCTATAACGGTGCAATATATTATTATTTTTAGCAAGGAAGTGTCTTCTTGAAAATTTTGAAAGTTCTTTTTCTCTTCCTCCGACTTTAATTTCGTAAAGCCATAAGACACGGTACCATGATTAGCAAGCTCTGACGACCTGCATCTCAAGATATCGAGAAGTATATTGAAGCAACTGTTATAAGGTGCATTAAACACAATACACATAATTTATTATGGACTGTTCCACGTTTATGCTTGAATTACTTTCATAAGGCGGTGTACAATGTAGAGCGCTCAAATGTATTGAAAAATATTTGATATCAAATGCAAAATTAACCAGCGACACCTTTACTGACATTGGTACTAGCGGTAAAACTGGAGGGGATGATAGTGGTGATTAGTTCGGGAACTTAGTAAGCAGTCATTTAGATTGAAGCATGTTTCTGTTGTCAAATTTCCACGGCTCTATCAGACAGTCTAGGTTTTTACATTGCTTCATAAAGTTGGAGAAAAAATTGTTTCCATACCATCTCCAAGTAAACATATGCGACAGATTAACCCCTTATCAACGGGTAGACTGTGTTGTATTTCGTTGCAATTTTGTGATCAACGACGTCGGTCGCTTCATCAGCAAGTTGTACTCGGTTTCGAAGTGGACATGGAACAAGCTGACTCTTGTCCAAACAGATCAGGAGAACTAAACAAAAGGAAAATTTATCCGAGTGGAAACTGGGAGTGAATATGCTTCACTTTTGACTGTGTGACGAACTTTGCCGCCCTTCCTTAGAGTGCGGAGTCTACGAAAATTCGTTCCTTAACTAAGACGTTTCAACTTTGGCACCGTAATGTCTGATGGGTGCCACCGTATTCTTGATATTTCGAAGGCAGGTGGATTAAAGATAAATAGTAATCCGGATTATAAAATGCTGGACTGGAAATAGCAGTTTTTAACCGTAACTGCGAATAATGCAAGCCACACACCCCAGAACAGCTGCATATGACTACCAGCAGCATGAGCTGACTGAGGTTAAATAACTTTGATTGTATCCTTGGAAACAACATTCTGTTCCATTGTTGCATGCCTCAGCCGAACCTTCCAGTTGTCTGGAGCAGTCCTTAATGTACTGTGTCGTCATTAAACTAGTAGTTTCAGCTTTTCTTTATTTTAGGTGTGTATAAGAATAGCCATAAAGAGAGAGGAGCATGGAACGATGATTTGATTAATCTGGCTTGGTTAAGCTTGTGGTAAAAGTATAAGGAGTTGAGCAACACATTTTAATTCACTGTATGCCATTAAAATGATGAAGCTAAAACTAACCTTAACTCAGTTTATGCATTTCTAACTGTTTTATTTACATATTTGTTTGGTGCCGAATAATTTCGAAAGGTTAATTTATCGCCTTCATATAGCACGTCTGAGTGAAAATACCTCACGAGAATTTTTCAATACCCTCGGAGTTAATTTGCGTAATGGGGTGGCCTATTTGAAAAGTAAGTTAAGGCCCTAATCATTAGGGGACGGACCATGATTTTTAAATTTTGCATAGTAGTCGACGGGTACCGTCCCAATGGCTATCTTCAGCCACCAAGTCGTTCGTCTATTTGAACCTTAATTGAGAGTTACCGTACAGTCTGCGCTGTTTTCGTTCTACCACTTGATAAACGAATTTTGGCTCCGGGGACTTTCTGAAGACAAGTGTATGCAGCGAAATATTCGGTTGGTTACTCCCCTCTTCTATCATCCTTTAGAATTTTAGGAGGACTTAATGATCAAGTAGACTGCGCAAATTCAAACAAATCCTTCTTCACATTGCGTCTGAAGGTATTGTTTAGAAAACTAGTCGGCCACACTCCTTCAGGCCATTACTTCATGGACGAGCTGTTAGAAAGCACTAAGAAATGAAGTGCGCGCTTAGCTATCCACTCAGCAATAGGGATAAGAATTACATGTCACATTTATTCTTACTTCAAAAAGTATGGTTCATCTATACCAACATGTCAACTTAATAAATTAGTTTCCTTAGTTTTACGGAACCGGAAAAGACCTAGGTGTGTTCCTCGCAGTACTTTCGGTTTCTAGATGAAGGAGAACAGGCTACGGAAGGAGTCTAGATAGTGTTGTCTTCAAGTACTAGCTTATGGGGTCTGAGTCTCTGATGCGAACAATCGAATTGTTGCTTTGCGTTGTCGTACAAACGTCATGAAATAGACATTTTATTCATATTCAGAAAAACATTTATATTTGGATAACAGACCAAAACTTTTGAAAGGTGAAAATTTACCATGTGTGTTTTGCCGCATCAAGGGGCGAAAACAGAAATAATTATTTAAATTTCGAAGTGAACTTACCAGCTCAGTTAATTTGTCATTAAATTTAAACGCTAGTTAATGCTAGTGGTACTTTCGTTTTATGCACGCATCAGCAAAGTAGTACAAGCGTGGTTTCTAACTATCATACTTGTCGCGATCTAAAGTCAGATTTTGAGGAAAGAAGCAATAAATTCCTCAGTATGTAATAAGCGCTCAACCAGCTCTTTAGGAAAACAGCTGGCTCGTTCACCATCATCCTCATTGTGAAGGCTAATACACTATTCTTATGTAAAGAGTAAGTTCCAAGCTCTAAAGATAGCTTTAGGGATAAGTCAGAAGAGCCATGGTGATTATTTTTGTAGATTGCATGTTTGCGCCAGCAAAATGCGCTCGCTTATTTGTGGTTGACGATACGAAAACATTTAATTCCATAGAGTTAGAAACAATAGAAATTTGCAAACGGAATTTTCTCACTCGAACAAAAATTTGTGTGCATTTATCACCGAACAGGTATCGTCCTTCACCAATCCGATTCACTGGAAACGTTTGCTTGCAGGTGCATTGGGAAAGGAGCTCTCGAACCTGGAATAATAAGAGATGGACGAGGATGTTATATTTATCAAACCAGATAAGACACAGAAAGCAAAAGACACAGGAGATGAGAGCAAGGCTGTTTTTGTCCGTTTTGTAAGCTTAGCCGATAGAATACCGAAGAATCGGAGTACCAACGAGTGGTATGCAGCAAAGCATACGTTCATGTTTTAACACGGGGTTCGTTGCAACAACACTTTTATAAACATTCAAAATACAAATTTTGACGTGGTAGGAGATCAAGACTAGTCTATTTAAAATACATAGGAATAACAAGCAAGTAGGTTCGGTGTTAAAATGCAACACATGTGCGATAGCTGGCAACTGAAGTAATCCGTTCTTTAAACTTAAAAAACTGTATAGCTTTTGAAGGCAGATGAATATTGAGGGTAACTGGTTAAGGCCCGTAAACTTATGAAAACAAGTGTTAGTGGAACATCCGAGTACCGTTCCAACTCATCCGCTTCAATGGTCCAATGAAGTTCGTAGTTAGCGCGACAAGAGCCGAGAAAGAGAGGCAGTTGATTTACTCTTAATCGTGTCGTCAAACCCATAAGGCGGATCATTTTGAGCAACAGTACAATATGGCTTGCTGCGACGCTCCTGCCCGCTTAATTACCTGAGCCCAAATAAAAGCTTAATACCACACCTTCCAGTTTAGAAGACATTCGGCATGGAGCAGTCGTGTTGACATGTAAGAAGATTGCTGGACCCAACAAAATTTCTCCATCTTCGATAAAAGCTTGAGGAGACTGTCGCTAAATGAACTTACTGCTCCACTGAACAAACTTTTGGAGAACGAAGAGATGTCCTCAGTAGGATGCCTTTTATCTTTGTCGTTCATCTTTAAAAGTATCAAGAGACTTAAAGCTAAAATCGTCCAGACAATAATCGCAGTAGTATGCCTGCTAACTTCTCACCAAGATGATTCTTCGAAGACTTTCGGATTCCCGTGAGAATTGAGGCACTGAAAGCTTAGCAGCCTTTCGCACTGATCGTTGTTGAATCGGCCTTATTTTTGGTCTTCATCAAGTGCTAGACTAGCAAAAATTTTACAGTCGAGCGGTTATTGGGATTTTCCTTGACTTGGAAGCTGCCTTCGACTCTGTTGACCGCGCCAAGTTGTGGCACTGCCTATCCATGAAGAACGTGCCGCCTAAATTCATTTCGATTATGAAGTGTCTATACTGTGCCTCCCTGGGGCCGTATATGGTTCTACTGGAAGTTATCTCCTGACTACTGCGCGACAAGGGAGGTTTATCAGGGTTGTCCTATATCTCCTTCCCTATTCAACTTTGTGCTCGAAACTGTCATGGATGACTCAGATCTTGCTGTCTACTGGAGTGAAAGTTTTGTTAATTTGTCGACTGACAAAATTAGGGTATGCGGACGACACTTAGTGACAACGCCAACAATACTGAAAAGATAGGTGCGCAGAGTTGCTCGATTCGGCATGTATTTTGTACCTTCTTCAAGGAGCAAGGTGCTGTTGCAGAACTGGAACGATTCGCTACAGCTTCCAGCTCTCAGGTAACAACCACTGGAAGTGGTGGATCGGTTCACGTATCTTCGAATCTGTGTCACCTATTGTGGTCACATCACTGTGGAAGTTACCTCACATATCTGTTTAGCCGGTGTGGATATTCGGAGGCACAATCATCTAGGGAGATGGCGGAAAAGCAGCCTGTTATTGAAATATAATGCGTATACCGCTTTGGTGTGATCGGCAATACAGTATGGATCAGAGACCTGGCAAGTTCGCAGTGAAGACATAAAACGGATGACCGTGGTTGGCTATTGATTCTTACGAAGTATTGCTCACGTCATGTGGGAACGCCGAGTGAGCAGTGTTGAGGCCCGCCAGTTGGTCTTGTGAAACAACCTTTCTGGTACCTCACGCGAATGTTCGGTATGTGTTAACCGTTACCGTAGCTAGATCATGTCCTCCGTACGTCCGTTTATAGACTTCTTCGGGCTGTATGATATACCGTGGCTGCATCAACTTGGGCGTCACCGCGAGGTGGCCGGTACATGACGTGACATAATGGTTTGAAGAAACTGACTGAGAGAAATGGTTAAGCTGATGCGTAGATGGCGGATCTGGGCATGCCACATCAATGATTGGAGACCCTATCAGACATGACGCAGGCGAGTAGCCAGTGTAGTTGTTGCATTCACTTTCTTCCATTGAGTGGTTAATAATCATTCCATCCCAATTCATTTCACCTAATTCTTTTGCGCTTCTCGTTTCCTTGTATTTTGTTTGTTTCAAACTTCAGTGTCTTACGGCTGTTGCAAATCATTATGTTTGCGACCCGATTCGTGTCAGCTCTAACTACCGCACATCGTTTCCTTCGTCACACTTGTTCCACTAAACTGAATTTCACAGAAGCATTTATTTATTAGCAATGGCGAATAACAGCTATTTTCCTGTGCTGCTGTGATTTGCAGCTGCCATCCTAACCCCTTCACTTCATGAAGGTCTTGTCCTGATTTGGTCTCTGCAGATAAAGATAGCTTGAACTGAAAGTGGAACTCGACTCATGCTTTCTAATGGCTTACACCTTGATCACTATGGCAGAGCTTCGCTATCAGTTTTGGGAGACAGCAGTTCCGAAACGCTCCACCTCGAATGACGTTCGAGTGATCAAAATCGCTAAGATTTGCTCCAAAGTAAAGCGTGGCTTCAATCGAAATTGCTTGTCGTATTCCAGACAAACACCAGGGAGGTACACAAATAATCGAATCAGACGGGAAGTCTGTATATCCATTCACATTGCTGACAGCTAATCCCTAGCAGGAGCCGTGAGAAGCAAGCTGGAGCGACTGTCATTGGCGAATGGAATACTTTAGCCAACATGCTATTTATGACGTTATGTGAGACATTCCTTTTTACGAACGATGGGTAGTCACTCATTAATTTACGTATCGTCCTATATGCATGATCATTCGATCTTCCACCATTTGTGTTAGGTTGCAAAAAACAGAGCCAATGAATTTCTAACAGTGCCTCTATCACTTCCGGCTATAGCCATTAGTGAAATGATGGCCTGTACTACCACAATGACCAATGTGACTAGCTACTTGCATAGTTCCTGCCTCGTCAGCACACCTATTCTATTGAAACCAGCCACGCTATCTGGGATATCGCTCCTTTTATTTGAAGTGGACGCAGATTATTGAGGTAATAGAGGATTTCTGGTCCAAATTACCTTAGCTTTACTCTTAATCAACATGAGAGAGTAAACACATTCGCCCACCTAGATGAAAGGATCATCAATCCTATCCGCAGCAACACAAACAAGTGTGTTACGATCGGTACGGAAACCGTTTCGTCTTATTGGGGACAAACAACAATTGGAGTAACCTGAGAGAGAGAGGAATATCTACGAGATCTATTTAATAAACTATACGCGAAGGCTGCATGACAGTGTCATTTGGGAAACCTCACCTATGGGATGTATGCAGAAGTTGAGTATCATCATGTGTGAGATGCCTCCTGAGGTGAGAAATGGATGTTTCGTGAAAAATTACGATTGGCTGGGTATTGGAAGCAAAGTGCCATTCGGTTGCTGATGAAACCTGTGGCACGATAGGATTGCAGCCACCCGATTTACACCGGTATTGCGGTAACTTAAGTGATAGTCTCTCAGACCTGGAAGAGGAAGCCGATCTGTGTCCAGCAAACCCAACATAGTTTGTCCAGGTTCTACGGAATAACAGACACAAAGCCCAATACCATTTTATAGGGCTCATCGAGGACTTGATAGTATTTGCAATAACGTGTTCCAAATGATTCGAAACTGTGAGTGTATGAGGTTGAAATGTAAATCTGTCTTACGACGCTCCGAAGGATGCAATAATTTTCCTCGGTTCGGGTAGCGTCAGTAAGTTTTAGTGAGGTGAATTAAAATGGAAAATTTGGTCTATTTTGACGAGTTGCGCCATTTTTACCAAACGATTCGCTAGGATACTTCGAATTGACAGAAATCTTTAAAAAAAATAGGTTTATTATCTTGTATGAAAAACGATTATAATCAGTTTGACTATTTGGCATTCTGGGCCTATGCTGGTTGTCATTTCCCATACGTTACTGAAATAACTTGCAGAAGCAGTGACTATAAATGATAAATGATAAATGTTATATTCCTCGGTGTTTCGAGGTGCAGCCCAACTATGTGGTCTGATCAATGTGTACAACAGGATCGCAAAAAATAATCCATTTGTTCACGCTTTTTACAATGGATCCAAAAACAGGTACTAAACTAATTGGCAGGATTAAGGCATTAAAGAAAATAAAAAGCAGGAACAATAACGTAAGCAAATATAAACAGGTGTCCAGTTAAAGTAATACGGCCACTCGTGGAACCATCCCCAGGGGACCTGCTTCCATGCAAGGTATTCCCTCGAAAGGTTTCGCTCGCACTTCCATGCAATAACTGGCCGTGTGCCGGTGTGGCATAGTAGCATATGAGCCATCACCTGTATATCATATGTTTTGTTCATTTTAGAGCTGTTTTTGAACATGTATTATGGGCCATGAAGGCTCAGCCCAGTCCGTCAAGCGGATCATTCTATTATGGCACTTTTTTATACGCCAGACAGTTGGTGGCAATTTGCCTTGCATAGGTAACGTCTTTTATAATCTGGAAGCTGTAATCCGTCACCACAGGAGATCAGCCCAGTCGTGGCCAACTATGAAATAAGGAAGACTTGTGCAGTTTTACTAACGGCGGAATGCGTAGATAAATACCTTTTATATCTGTTCACAGTAAAGGTTATGGTAGTTGTTTGTGTTGTGTGAACAAGAAAAGATTATGGCTGTATTGATTATAATAAAGAGTTATGTGGAATAGAGGCAACTGTCTTCCTTTTCTATTTGTTTCTCTGACAATCTAGGCGTTTCATTTATGCAGTGTTGTCAGGTGAGAAAGAAATATGTAATAAGGCCTAATATTCTTTAATAAGTTCATTGAAATGCGAGTACCGGG